CATGACGTAACACCGTCCAACGCACGCATGCAATTGGCGATTCAAGAGGATGTAGTCCATGCGATGCAGCGTGCCCTGCTTCGCTCTGAACGTCTCGACTCGCGAATGCTGGACCAGCGTTTCAGTGATAAGGCGAGCGTGATCCACTGCCAGCTTCTCCAACTGCATCCCATCGCAGTCGTCTGGTCCCTCGGGCCGATGGGCCCTGAAACGTGAGAGAGCTCACGGCCCACCCTGGCATTGGCATCTGCAAGGACAACCGTTTTTTTTTGGGGGGGGGGGCTGGCGAGCACCCCATGCGTACTCCTCCACCACTCTCGAACTTGCGGGGTGGCGGAAAGCGAACCCATGCGAAGATTTGGGACATGCATGGCAACAATGGTTTCCTCGGCGAGGGCGCACGTGCAGCGACAACCAGGAGCCTAGCGTCGGCATGAACGACGTGGACATGTGTTGCTTCAAACTTTAAGGGGGCCCTTTTGCCCACAGGCACAGGGCCTGCGTATATTGCATAATAGAGAGCACCCCAGCCTGCCCCCCTTACAGCCAGAGTTGGGACACACGAAACCATCCATGGTACACTTGGACTGCTTGAAACCAGACTCCTGAACGCCAACAGGCGTAATGTGCTCGTCCTGCAGCTGTAGTCTCAGGTGCTGCGCCTTGGCCCTCTGCACAGAGCGTCGCCCAACGTTGGCCGCGCGTTGCTGGGCGTCTGCGCCATCAGCTGAGCACGTGGTGACATTGTTGGGGGTCGCCAGCTTGTAATTGAGCTTCGCTGATGCCTTTGAGACTGCAGGGTGTTTGATGGAACGTAGCTAATCCTCGCATATACGTTGCGCCTTCGCCTCCACAACCACACCGTGCTGACACCAAGGAGGGCACGGAGAGGAGGAGGGTACACTTGCCCGTGTGCATTGCCACTCCATGTGTTCGTCGTATGTAGCTGCAGACATTGCGAAATCAGGGGGCTGTTGCCACGGGTTCTCCTGGATATCGAAATGCCGTGATATTGAGTCCGCTGCTTCATACAAAGATGATCGCGATGGCCAGGTTGCTGACTCACGCGCAGTGGACGAACCATCTTGATGTCCCTAACGATGGCGGCGACAACGCGGTCAATGCCATGGGACAGCTTGGAGGTGCCCATTGCCTTGCCAACTGCTGCCGTATGGTCAAATAAGATACAAACTTGCTGCTGCCATGCTAACTGCGGAGAAAAGATTGTTGCCCAGAGGACGCCAATCAGCTCCACCTGCGCACTGTCCAGCTTATCGATGTCCAGCGACAAAGCCTGAGCATGTTGGGCCCGCGCAGCCACATAGCCCATGCACACGACAAGTTTAGGTCCTCAGGGACATGAGCCAACGCGAACGCCGCATCCTCCTTACGTGAGGGGGGAGAGAGGCATCGGACCACAAGTTTGGCGTGGGGGGTGCATACGAATGGCCAGATCCGCGCATGGATGCAACGACACGCCGATGTAGTTGCACGACAGCTGGTGATCCAATGATTGGCTGGCCGCTGTGGTACAACTCTGGCAACGTCAAGATACGCTTGGCTGTTAGCGCACCCCTGGATAATGAAGAGGCGGCGTTGGCTGCACTCGAGGAGGCTGCGGCCTCCAGACCTTCACCTCCAGAAAAGAAAGACAACATAATCGGTGTTGCTGATGAGACTGCCCCCACGCTTCGAGTTCATAGCAGGTTGGCCAGGTTGACATGAAGGGGCCTCTCTCGGGGGTGGGCATCAGGTTGCCTGGTGCCTGCCCGCGCTGAGGGAAACATGATGACGACGATAATGATGATGCAGCTGACCGCCCCGGCGCCTTACGGCAGCAGCCATCTGCACCGCCAAATTCAATTAAATGCTGACTCGCATCCTGTGGGCAGCTGCCAGCGCTAAAGTATCCCGCATCCTGAGCGCTGCCTAGGCCGCCATGCGACCAGCGACGAACCACCAACACTGCATTTCAAGTTATTGCTTGTGGCGGGCACCCCATCCTGAGCCACACAACTGTGCAACACAACAGCATGGGCAGCATTCACTCGACGCCGCCGCCGCACATCTCAGGGCAACCCGTTCGCCACGCTCCTCCGTGGAACGCCCTGCCTGGCACGTGAAGCCCCGCCTCTGCGCGTACCGCTCCACCCGCGCCGAGGGCCTCGGGCCTGCCACGCCCGAACCTGTCCGCCCTGCCCTCCTCCGGCCTGCTCCCGTCCGGCGAGCCCTTCCTCTCCTCGGCAGCTGGATCGTCGTTCTCGGGCCGGACGAAAGGGGGGGATTGGGAAAGGGGGGGTTACGAAATTTGCTGCATGCAGCTGGTTTCGGCCCCACCGAGGGGCCCATTCCTCGATACATAGTCGCCCGCGGCGCCGGGAGGCGCCGGGAAAATCAGCTACGTGAGCTGATTCTCAAACCCCCCCTTTGCTATCCCCCCCTTTCGCCCGGCCCGACGTTCGTGCTGTCGAAGACATGGGGGGACACAGGTGCTGGCGAGGACGGCAGGCCTGAAGAAGTCGATGACCACCAAGGCGATGATGGCTGGACGGCAGCTGGCGCGGGCGGTGGAGGGGGCGGGATCTGCACAGCCGCTGCCGCCTCCCGATGGACAATCTCCTGCTCGTGCGCAGCCAGGCCGTTGTCCTCTTGAATCCTCTGGGCTGCCTCAAGATCCCTCTGACGCATCTCCCGCCCAATCTCAGCGTCCAAGTCCGAGTCTCCTTCAAGCTTGTGGTAGGCCTCGGGGTTGATCATGTCCTGCTCTCGTGCTGTCTGAGCATCATCAGTGTGAATCCTTTGCTGGTCGAAACTGGCCTTCTTGAGCTTTTCAGATTAAGCAAGCGAGTCGAATGTAGCCGGAGCCAGAGGAGATTGATGCAGGAATGCTCTGTTGCGCATGCGTACCTTGCTGTGTCTGCGAATGTAGCCGCACAGGGGAAGGCACCTGAGGCGTCTGTGGGATCTCTTCCTTTTGCGTCTGTGCGATCGACTGCTGACCCTTGGCAAACTAAACAAACAGATATTGCAACTTATCCGACTGGGCCTTCATCTCATGCTGCTTCTTCTGTAGTTGGCCCGCCTGCTGCTTCTGCTGACCCAGATCAACTGCAAGGGCGTGGTGATCTGCTGCAGGGCAGGCTTTGACGCTTGGGCAGCAGCCTGAGGTGCCACAGGAGGTGGCGGTGGCGGCGGCCTGGCCCTGGCAGCAGCAGGGGCCTTCTGCGCACTACCCACTGGCGGGGGTGGCGGCGGCGGCGGCTGCACTGCATTGCCTGGGCCAGTAGCGTCCACCTCCATGTGTGAGTCCATGTCCTCTTCCAGGAAGGTACACTTGGAAGTCTCGTACACTTTGAGCTGCTGCCTGATGTCATATATCTGCTTAACCAAGTCCTCCTTCGTATGGACCAGTTCTCCGAGCTGCTTCTCAACTTTGGCAAGCTTTTCTTTCATGATGTTCACCCTTGTCGTGCACGCCGTCTCCTGATCCTCAACAGGAAGTAATGATAGTATGCCGGCCTTCAAGACCGCAATCTCTGTCACCTCAATCGTCGGGGACTTGGATGCCGTTTTCATCGCATGAGCAATTTCAGCCAGTTGGCATATCCTTTGTCACGCCTTCTTTTTGTGCGCAGCGACCAATTCTTTGTCGTCTTTGCCGGGCAGCTTCATCCAATTATCTGCCTCTTGCGCAAGGCCAATATGCACGGGACCAATGTCATCAATAATCTTGCGCAGGGCACCGTCGGACCTCCTCCTGCTGTGCGACCTTTCCTGACGGTCACCGTGGGCAGACGAAGCACGAGATGACTTACCCTTCTTCCTGGACCCATCTCTCTGCTGCTGTTGCTTCTGGTGCCTCTTCCAACCACTGCCACACGACTTGCAGAACCATATAGAATTGCCATTCTTCGTGCCACAAGAGCACACCCACGGCGTCATACTGCTGTGGTGCTGGGCCAACCTCTTGACCGCTGCAGATCGTCCCACAGCAGTCCTATCAGCAGCACGGAGCCGCCGGGCTCTCTTGTGCCAGTCGGGCTCTGCCAGGCGGGCCGAGCGAAGGAGCGCCTTCGCTGTGGTGCAGCCCGCTATGGCGGCCGCGCGGGGTCACCCTGCGGGGCGACGGGCGCGCGGTGGGGGGGGGGGGCGCCGCGCCCCGTTCGATTAGGGTAACGCCTTGAGCCAAAATGGCTACGGTCTCTCCTCCGCCTCCTCCTCATCCTCCTCCTCCTCTCTCTAGTCCTACTGCTCTTCCTCCTCCTCTTCCTCCTCCTCTTCCTCCCCCTCCTCTTGGGATTCGAGGGGCACTTGTCGCTGCAGCTCGTGAGTCTTTGCTGAGGCCCCCCGAGGCCAGGGAAGTCCACCTTCTGCCCTCCTCCTCGTCCTCTCAGCACCTCGTCCGCCTGAACTCATCCGTCGCCCTCGTCGTCCGTTACATTCCTCCTCTCCCGCTTCGCCCCCTCCCCCTACAGCTTGTGATCTTCCTCCTGCATCCTCCTTTAGCTGCTTCTGCAAGCCTCGGAGTCAATGGTCAGACGCAGCCCTTCATCCTCATTAGCTTATTCCGCCTCCTCTTCCTCCTCCTCTTCCCCCTCCCCCTCCTCCTCCTCGTCATCATCATCATCATCATCATCATCATCATCATCATCATCATCATCATCATCATCATCATCATCATCATCATCATCATCATCATCATCATCATCATCATCATCATCATCATCATCATCATCATCATCATCATCATCATCATCATCATCATCATCATCATCATCATCATCATCATCATCATCATCATCATCATCATCGTCATCATCATCATCAGCATCAGCATCATCATCATCATCGTCATGAGTCTCCCGGCTGCCCATATTTGCCGTCGGTCTCCCTGCCTCTCCGCTCCCCCCTCGCTCACCCATGTCCTCTCCCAGCCTCCTGCTCCCCCGTCCCCCCTCCCTCCGCGTGCTCCTCCCGCCCCGCCTGCGCCCTCGACCGAGGTCCTCGCCCACGTCAACCGGATGAGGGACGAGGCCAGGAGGCATGGGCCCGGGCGCTGGCCCCGCCCTCATCCCGCCTCCGCGCGCCTCGTGCCGGGCAGCCGGCGCAGAGGAGAAGGGAACCAACAGCCCGGCCCGGCCCAGTGCCCCTCCAGTGCCCGGTGCCCTTCCTGCTCTTGCGGTGCCCGCCCTGCTCTTCTCCGGCCCCTGCGACGTCTTCTCCGGCCCCTGCGACGTCTCTGCGTTTTGTAGAACTTCGAGTCTGGTTCTCTGCCCCGCCTTCCTGAAATCTGGTACGGGCTCCCCGGCGCCACTTCCGGGGCCACTTCGGCCCGATCGTTCCGCCTCGATTTCAGGTCGACCCTGCTCGATCAGATTACGTCTCGATGTCCCGAGATCCGATGCGGCCCGATGTCTGCACCGCAGTCTTGTAATTGATTATCCCCGCGCAGCCGATGCGGATCGATCCGACGCACGTTCCGATACGACCCGAATGCCCGCTTCGATTCCGACTGATCGTGGCACACCCGATTCGATTCTGACGGGTCCTACGGTGGGGGCGTTGGTTAAGGAATGCTCCCGTGAGGCGCCAGGCCCTGGGGGGAACTTCCTTATCTGATGAGAGCGGCGGTGATATCCATGGCCAAGCCTCGATTGGAGTTCCACTGGCTTCGAGACCCTGGGTTCCTTAGCCATGGGTTCCGCAGCTGCGGCGCCCCGTGACGCGGCCCGCGGGCGCGCTGTAGACCCTGGCCCCGTGGGGCGGTGTGGTGCGCGGAGATATTCGCGCTCCCCTTGGGGCGGTCCTGGGTGCGCCGCGGGCGCAGTGCGAGCGCCGTTTCGTCAGCATCGAATGCATGTGCATGCACGCGCTCGCGCTCGAAGTGCTTCTTTTTGTAAGAAAAGAACAGAGACCAGAAGCTTCTTTTTGTAAGAAAAGAACAAAGACCACAAAAAACAACAAACACACACACAAAAAAAAACTCACCGTAGCACATTTTGGACGCCCGAAATGAGTACGGAAAGAATGGGTACAATGCCCAACAACAAATGTTGCCCCAAACCAACAGCGGCCGCTGTTGGGCAGGCGGTCTTCTGTCTCAAAGGGACGCAGGCCGCGGCGGCGTGCACAGCGAGTCCTGTTCAAAATGAACAGGAACTGCTGTTGGGCATTGCACCCATTCTTTCCGGGTCCGGACCCCCCCTCCTCCCCCCCTTTGGCCGCAACCCCCCCCTCCCCCCCTTTCGCCACGCCGCGCCGTGACTCCGGAACCCCCCCACCACCCCTACCCCTAGTCCTCACCCTAACCCAAACCCCTAACCCTAACCCCAACCACTAACCCCAGCTCCAAAGAGTACTCACTACTCTTTACTCAGTACGTACCCATGTCGGTCGTCCCGACACATCGCCCAGGCTGGCACGGCCTCAGGGACCCGCGAGGGGTTCGTGCCCGCTCGGCTCTCTCGCATCCTGCCCCCGTCGCCCCGGCGAGGCCCACGGGTGGGCGCGCTCGCCCCAGCGGGGGGGGTTCGAGGGAGGCAGGTGCGGGGAGGGGCAGGGAGAGGCGGTGGCGAAAGGAGGAGGAGGAGGAAAAGGCTAGGGAGGAGGAGGAGGAGGATGATAGAGATTAGCAACACCGAGGAGTGGGAGAAGGCGAGGGAGGGGACGGGTGAGGAATGGGAGGAAGAGGAAGAGCGGAAAGACCAGGGAGCATGAGCAGGAGGAACCGCTGAAGCAGAAACGACCAGAATGAGCAAGAGAGAAAGGGAAGGGGAGGAGGAGGAGGAGGAGGAGGAGGAGGAGGAGGAGGAGGAGGAGGAGGATGAGGAGATGGAGGGAGGGAGGGAGGAGGAGGAGGAGGAAGAGGAGAAGGAGGAGGAGCAGCAGCAGCAACATCAGCAGCAGAGGGGCAAAGTATCTGCGAAGTGGGGCGGAGGAGCCGCGAGAATGGCTTGACCCACAAGTTGCCCCTCCCCGCCCTCCTCTCCCACGCCCCTGCTCCTGCCCTGCCCCAAACCCTCCTCCACCATAATCCTCGGTCCTCCTTTCTCCTTTTCCTCTCCCCCACTCCCTCCACCTTCTCCTCCTCCTCCTCCTCCTCCTTCTCATCCGGCTTCCTCCCTTTCCTCGTCCCTCATCATCATCACCATCACCAACATCACCACCATCACCACCATGCACCACCATCACCAACATCACCACCATCACCACCATGCACCACCACCACCACCATCATCATCATCACCAGCATATTCATCATCATAATTATCATCAGCAGCATCATCATCATCACCGTTGTCATCGCCGTCATCAATTGCATCATCCTCATCAGCAGCAGCATTATCTTCATTATCATCATCACCATCATCGTCGTAATCATCATCGTCCTCACCATCACCATAACCATCATCATCAGCATCATCACCACTGATCACCATCATCATCACCACCATCATCACCACCATCATCATCACCATCAGCATCATCGTTCCTCCTGATCCTACTCGTCCTTCCTTCCTCATTTCTTCATCCCTCCTCCTCCTGTTTTGTCCTTCACACCCTCCTGCATCCACGCGTGAGTGAAGACAAGTTGCCGATCGATTCCCCAGATTTCGCCGTCGTATATTTACGAGGTAGGCCCCAGGACTCTCGACACCATCCCCACTGTCGTTGCGTATCGACGGTTGTCGTTCCCAGGGCCCCAAAGCAATCGCACCCTTCGTCCCTGAAACGGAAAACATAACACAGCGAAACAAAGCACAACCGGACATTGTTTTCTGTACCCTGGCGGTAGCGGGCGTGACTGGGGGGAGGGGGAGGGAAAAAGGGAGCTGGCCGCGTGACGATTCGTGATAGCGCTTTCTGGGAATGCTGATGAGTGTCTAATTCCCACACGGCGCCGGCGGGAATCGTGACGGGACCAGGGGGGGAAGGGGGGGGCGGGGCCGGTCACGGCCGCCATCGTCGATATTTGGAAAAACGGGCTACAGAAGAAAGCGAAGTACGCTAGTGATCCGTTTTCGCGGCGCTTGGACTGCCTAGGAGACAGGGATAACGGCCGAATCAGCGGTCGATTGTTACCCAATTCTGAATGATGTTGTGGGCCTGCTTGGGGAAAGCGCCGATGTTGGCAAGATCTGGGGCCCTGAATAAGCCCCAGACCTTCGGGTTTCGCCGTCTCATCTCCTCTGCGAATCAGCACCGACGTCGAGTGTGTATACCTGCCCCCCCCCTGACCTCCGATGTCGTGATATGATCCACGCGCGGGACCTGGAGTTCATTACCGATCCCTTCTTGCCAGGCAGCCGTCTACGCATCTCCTAACGTAACGACGTCGTCGATGCACCTCTGATGCCGTGCCATCTTGGGACCCCGTCTATCCTGGTCCATCCCGGAGGCCTCCACTCGAGAGGGCACTTCATCAGACTGTACGGGTCGGCATGGAGGCGTCCCCGAGCATCTCTTCGATTGCCGTCTTGCGGGGCAGGGGCCACGTCGCACGGTGGGGTGGCACAGCGTTTTCGGTCCGAGAGTTCGTGGTCGCTCCTGGGGCTGGAGCGCTGCCTGCTGTGGCACTCACGAGGGGCATGCGGACAAACTGAAGCGGAGGCTTCGAGGAGCAAATGTCCAAACGGTCTGGGCCGCAGGGGAGGAGCCGAGCAGCAAGCGGCGTGGGAGGGTCCGGGGCGAGTCTGGGTTGGGTACGCTTCTCGCCACCAAGGAGTGGGACATTCAGGATCGACTAAGTGGCCGTTGCGGTGACTCGATAAGTTCGTTGCGCCCAGAGGCCCTTGAGAATGCGCCTCATGTAGGAATTCTTAGCGAGCTCTTGATATCAGGTGCCTACGGTCTCGCTGCTCACGAATGCTCTCCCATGAGGTGTTGTTCGTGCGGAGCGGGGCATTTCCAGAAACCATGTGTTGTCAAGGCGGTGCCATGTGTGGTTAAATGACCTTCGCTTGCAGTTGGTGCAGCGCGGTCTAGTTGAATGGGGAAAGGCGGACGCGGCGGCGGTGTCAGCAATGACAGTAGGGGTGGAGGAGGAGGAGGAGGACAGGCGACGAGGAGGACGGGCGACGACGAGGAGGAGCAGCTGCAAGAGCGGCAGCAGCAAGCAGTCGCAGCAGGAATGGGAAGAGGGCAATTGTAAGCAGTGGCGAAGCGCCATCGCTCGCCTATAGGCCTACCAAAGAATGTTTTCAGAACCTTGTGTTGTCTGCACGAAATGTTATTAGAACATTTCTGGCTGAGACTGTTTTGTGTTAGCGCATCGGGCTTATGTTATACGAATCTTGCTTCTGTGATTAAAACAACAGTTCCCGGTTTGATGAACATGTCGTGGTAGGCCTATAGGAATGCCTGGACGGTGGGTCCCTGCTCAAAACTGAGGTACAGAGGCGTCGGCCTGGCGTGGGGCGTGACGGTGCCCGCTGTCTCCATCTCGTTCGCTGTCTACACGAACTTGCAGCAGGAGTTCGAGTCGTTGGGCTACGGCGGCGGCCTCGGTCTGGCCAGCCCGACCAGTCCAATCCCGGGGATGTTCCATAGTCTGGTCAGGACTGTGCGCCACATCCGCCGATTCCCAAATCTCTGCTGGCGAGCACGAAGAAGCGAACCAGGTGGAAGTCGAAGATACGTTCGTGGACAGTCCGCGATCGTCTCGTAGTTTTGCCCCAACCATCCTGTGGTGTTGGGTCCTCTTTTCAAGAGACGGTGGCCCGCGTCTCCTCTCCTCCTCCTCCTCTCCTCTCCTCCTCCTCCTCCTCCTCCTCCTCCTCCTCCTCCTCCTCCTCCTCCTCCTCCTCCTCCTCCTCCTCCTCCTCCTCCTCCTCCTCCTCCTCCTCCTCCTCCTCCACCTCCCACCATCATCATCGTCATCACCCATTTCGGCACACCCCTCACACGTTTCGTGGCCCCATCGGGAGCTCCACCGAAGGTCCCAGTGGGTGTGCCCGTATGCGTCCCGCACACCCATTTCGGCCCACCCCTCGCACGTTTCGTGGCCCCATATGGGGGCTCCACCGAAGGTCCCAGTGGGTGTGCCCGCATGCGTCCCGCACACACTTTTCGGCCCACCCCTCACACGTTTCGTGGCCCCATAGGGAGCTCCACCGAAGGTCCCAGAGGGTGTGCCCGCATGCGTCCCGCACACCCATTTTGGCACACCCTTCACACGTTTCGTGGCCCCATAGGGGGCTCCACCGAAGGTCCCAGTGGGTGTGCCCGCATGCGTCCCGCACACCCATTTCGGCACACCCCTCACACGTTCGTGGCCCCATAGGGAGCTCCACCGAAGGTCTCAGTGGGTGTGCCCGCATGCGTCCCGCACACCCATTTCGGCCCACCCCTCACACGTTTCGTGGCCCCATAGGGGGCTCCACCGAAGGTCCCAGTGGGTGTGCCACATGCGTCCCGCACACCCATTTCGGTACACACTTCACACGCTTCGTGGCCGCATAGGGAGCTCCACCGAAGGTCCCAGTGGGTGTGCCCGCATGCGTCCCGCACACCCATTTCGGCACACCCCTCACACCTTGCGTGGCCCCATCAAAGGGCTCCACCGAAGGTCCCAGCGGGTGTGCCCGCATGCGTCCCGCACACACATTTCGGCACACCCCTCACACGTTTCGTGGCCCCATGGGGAGCTCCACCGAAGGTCCCAGTGGGTGTGCCCGCATGCGTCCCGCACACCCATTTTGGCACACCCTTCACACGTTCCGTGGCCCCATAAAGGGGGCTCCACCGAAGGTCCCAGTGGGTGTGCCCGCATGCGTCCCGCACACCCATTTCGGCACACCCCTCAAACGCTTCGTGGCCCCATAGGGGGCTCCACCGAAGGTCTCAGTGGGTGTGCCCGCATGCGTCCCGCACACCCATTGCGGCCCACCCCTCACACGTTTCGTGGCCCCATAGGGAGCTCCACCGATGGTCCCAGTGGGTGTGCCCGCATGCGTCCCGCACACCCATATCGGTACACCCTTCACACGTTTCGTGGCCCCATAGGGAGCTCCACCGAAAGTCCCAGTGGGTGAGTAATTTCGGCACGCCCCTCATACGTTTCGTGGCCCCATAGGAGCTCTGCAGAAGGTCCCAGTGGCACAGTCCGCACGCGCCCCCGCCATTCATTCCGGGCCACCCCTCACACGTTTCGTGGCCCCAGAGGGGCTCCGCCGAAGGCTCCAGTGGAACAGTCCGCATGCGTCCCCGCCACTCATGTCGGCACACCCCTCACACGTTTCGTGGCCCCACAGGAGCTCCGCCGAAGGTCCCATTGGCACAGTCCGCATGCGTCCCCGCCGCTCATTTCAGCACACCCCTCACACGCTTCGTGGCCCCATAGGAGCTCCGCCGAAAGTACCCTGGCACAGTCCGCACGCGTCTCCGCCATTCATGTCGGCCCACCCCTCACAAGTTTCGTGGCCCCATAGGAGCTCCGCCGAAGGTCCCGATGGCACAGTCCGCACGCGTCCCCGCCATTCATTTCAGCACACCCCTCACACGTTTCGTGGCCCCATAGGAGCTCCGCCGAAGGTCCCCGTGGCACAGTCCGCATGCGTTCCCGCCAGTCATGTCGGCACACCCCTCACACTTTTCGTGGCCCCACTGGGGCTCCGCCGAAAGTCCCAGTGGCACAGTCCGCATGCGTTCCCGCCACTTATTTCGGCACACCCCTCACACGCTTCGTGGCCCCATAGGAACTCCACCGACGGTCCCCGTGGCGCAGTACGCATGCGTCCACGCCATAAATTTCGGCACACCCCTCACACGCTTCGTGGCCCCATAGGAGCTCCGCCGAAGGTCCCCGTGGCACAGTCCGCATGCGTTCCCGCCAGTTATTTCGGCACACCCCTCACACGTTTCGTGGCCACATAGGAACTCCACCGAAGGTCCCCGTGGCGCAGTCCGCATGCGTCTCCCTTGCCCAGTACAGCGCTACGTGGCCCCATATGGAGCCCCACCGCAGGTCCCAGCCAGCCAGCTAGCTCTTTTTGCTCCGCGCAGCGGGCGACCCGCGCGCGTCGCTGGGACCCCTCCGGGGCGACCTGCGCGCGTCGCGGGGGCTCCGTGCTGCGTTCTGCCCAGCGCCTCGCTCGCCCGTCGTCGCTCTGCCCAGCGGCAAGAGCCTTGCCCGCTATCAGCCAGCCAGCTAGCTCGCTTTGCTCCGCGCAGTGGACGACCCGCGCGCGTCGCTGGGACCCCTCCGGGGCGACCTGCGCGCGTCGCGCTGACTCCGCGCTGCGCTGCGCCCGCAGCCTTGGACTTTTGAGTGCGCGGGCAAAGAGGGAGTAAAGGAAGTGGAGGAAGCGGGCGCGATCCTCGCGGGGGGGCACGCCGACATTGACATCGCGGCGCGCGGGCGATGCCGTCGGGGAGTCCCGGGGAAGCTCCTTGCGGCGGCCACGCCCAGCGTCACGAGTACTCAGAGGCAGTCGTTGCCAAACTATTGGCATTCATACACAATCGCACCACGCTTTGTCATATTCGCATTCATGCACGTAGACTCGCTCGCACGCAGATTCATTCACAGTCAGACGCACGCGCGCAGATTCACCCGCGAGGCGATAAGCTTGTGATGCTGCCAGATCGTATTTTCGGGTCGGTTGCTCGAGGCCCTGGACATAGTGACAACGCAACCTTTTTTCCCAAGACTGGCTTCGCACGGTTGCATATTCGGTCCATGTTTGGCCAGTTTTGTTTACCAGCTCCTACGAGCATGCTTGCGTCAGGTTGCAGTGTCGGCATGCGTGGTGCTCCGGGAGATTCAAGAATTTCGGGCCCTGGTTCCTTGAACAGTCTTCTGAAACGAGGACTGAGGCTTCCGGGCGTCGGCAAAGGGTCTCAGGGCAGTCCAACTCGTGTCTCAGGGCACGGCGGCGCGTGTGTATGTATACAGATATACACGCACGATGCATGATATGTTTTTCACATGTATGGATGCATCCACAATTGCTATGTATGGATGTGCATACACAAGTGCACAGCGTACCATTTCATATCATATCATAGCTTGATATGCTACATGGTATGGTACCGTGATCTATTCGAGTAGATTCTAATATATTGCACCATACAACATTCAGTTTGTAGTATGTTGTTTTGTGGAATATTGATGCACCGCGTACGACATTGCATTATCATGTGTATTACGATGTCAATGTTCACATACAACTAAATTAGCGTATGTTCGCCGCTCCTGTCCTCTTCTTTGCTCTGTCCTTCTCTCTTTTACAGCTCTGAGTGTTGGCCGTCTCACTCGCCACGCTCAGCAATACATGTCTTCGTGTACAGTTGGTTTATGGTTTGCGGCTAAGTAGGCCTATGAGGTGTGTAAACTGCGGCTGGGCGTCGTTGGCAGAGGGCGGATGCATTGCAGCATTCTGTGTATGTTCTGTCTCCCCTAACCTTCCTCTCCCCTCTTCTTCTCCTCCTCCGCCTCTTCTTTGATATTGGACGGGCTTGCAGGTTTACGTGGTCATTTACGGAGCTCGGGCCCTGAGCTCTGAACACGGATTTCAGCAAGTTTCTCAGCCCCGGTTGCGCGCAACGGCTCACCCATCGTAAGTTGGCGTGAGCATTCCTCAAGTTGCGTTTGGGTGCCCTTCCGTTCGCCACAGGACGACTCCAGAGGCGGATGCACATAGACATTGAATACCATGCTAGGGCGACGGTGTCGAGAACATTGTTGTTATAGTGCGGGCGACGCGCACCAATTCGTTTTAATTTCAAGGGTTATAGTATGCTATGTTGTATCATTACATGGTGTGCTAAGCCATAACGTTACATATAGCATGGAATATGAGTCTTTAATATGTTATGCTACATTGTCTTTCGTGTCGTTACATAAATGTATCGAGTTGGAGTATGCCGTATGACTTTTGTTATCTTGTTTAACATTAGATCGCATTGCATGATACTATATACCATTATGTGTATATATGGTGTGCACCATAGTGTATGCTACACGATACACGTGTTTACATTGTTGCAAGTTTTACCGCATACGCTTGTATCATAGAGTATAGATGTAGGACCCCGCAAATGCGGATAAGCTTTAGAGGGCGGCGGGGTCGTCGGAAGTCTACGAGGCTCTGGAGAAGCCCGCCGAAGGCGTCGATTCTTATGCAATGAGCCCGTCGGAGGCGCCGAATGGTTCGTCAAAGCAGGTGGGTGGGTCGCGGGTGGGTCATGAGGTGGGTCGAAGGGGGGTCGCGGGTGAGTGGCGCATTTGGTCGCGGGTGGGTCACTGGTGGGTCTCCGGGTGTGTCGCGGGTTGGGTCGCGGGTTGGGTCGCGGGTGGGTCGCGGGTGAGTCGCGGGTGGGCCACGGGCCGTGTGGCAGGTGGGACGGCGATAGCAAACAACGCAACAACCGCGAAACCTTTTTTCAGCCACGCACCCAGGGACAGTGAGTGACGCTTCGTCCCCTCCACTTGCTGCCGAGCGACACGACCACGCCGCTGGCCATCTTCGCCTCGCATCGACGACTCGCATCTTCGTGCCTGAATATTGTGCCACCTGGAAGATCAGAAGGAGGGACAGAGGAGCAAGACAGGCAGGACAAGATGGCCCGTGCCTAACCTGAAGCGCCTATGTGACCGAACCTTGCGGCCAGAGCTCGACGGAGTTACCGAAACATTCGAGCAGATACGGAGCACATCGTACGTAGACGGCGGGGTGGTAGCGAATGTGGGCATGGCGTGAGTCGTCTTTTGTGCATGAGGAGATGTATACATGGATATGTGTAGACCGGATCGGAAGATGTAGAGATAAGAGTTGTAACGGTAGTGATCGCGAGGTTTCCAGTACACATGCTTCAGTTGGTATTGAGCAAGTATTGAGGCATATCTTCTCTATGGCTGTAGTGATACCCAACACGTACCACTTGATTCACATGGCTTGTAAGCGTGGTACCAAGCAAGTACTAATTGAGTTATATCTCCAGCGTGCTCCAAGTGGTACCAAGCAAGCGCCCCTTCAGTCACATCGTTTGTATGTCCGCGGTGGTCGTACCTAGCGAGTGCAATTTGAACCATTTCGCCTGCAACCTCCAAGCAACACCAGGCTGGCATCCAGCAAGTACCACTTGGGCCACAGCGTCTGTACGCCTGAAGTGGTACAAAGCAAATACCACTTGAGTCATGCCGTCTGTATGCAGCATCTGGTCAGAGGGTGATATAGGAGAAAGAGGCAGAGCGGGAGGAGGGGAGGAAGACGCTGAAGAAAAAATGGAACCCAGACCTCCAACAACTCGATTTGTTCGCGTCGCCGGCTCGCTGATCTCTTGACCCTTTCGAGTGGACTGGCTTCTCATCCCCTGCAGTTTTAAACGGTCTCGCGACCTGGAAGCGGCGCTCGGACGACGAGATTGTGAGAACATCCCCAGACGTTAGAGGAGGAGGAGGAGGAGGAGGAGGAGGAGGAGGCATGAGGAGGAGGGGAGGAGGAGGAGGAAGAGGAGGAGGAGGAGGACGAAGAAAAGGAGGACAGAGATGAGGAGGGAGAGGCAAGGGAGCCAGGAGGAAGGAGTAGGGAGGAGGAAGAGGAGGAGGAGGAATCAGGGAGGAAGTGGAGGGAGGAGGGCGGAGACCTCCTGCGCATCTCGCCGAGGCCACAACAGCTGCTGCTCCACCCTGCTGGCCGGCGGCCTGTCTGGCGTGGTGGCGTCCACCGTCACCTACCCACTGGACACCGTGCGACGGCGCTCGCAGGCCGCCCTCCCCTCTCCTCCTCCTCCTCCTCCTCCTCCTCCTCCTCCTCCTCCTCCTCTTCCTCATGTTTCTCCTCCTCCTCCTCCTCCTCCAACCCAGATCTCCGACCATACCATTCTTTCGATCGAGGTTCTCGGGTCCGAGGGTTTCCAAGTTTTCTGACGTTGCCGCGGGTTCCCGAGCATTTCCCGCTGGTACTTGGAGTGTCCCGGACCGATGCCAGAGACCCGAGTTACGATCCGGAAGCCAGATTTCCGACAATGTGTGTTTTTCAAGTTAGGCGTTCTTCCATGATTTCAGCCTTTGGGGCCCATTCTTGGGGCCCAGGGCCATCAAAAATGCATCCGGGACGAAAAAATACCCCAGGGAATGGGTCGCGACCTCTGCTGCCGCCCACTGAAAATACATTGTCAGATGTCTGGGCCGTCGTCGCCGTCGTCGACGTCGACGTCGTCGTCATCGTCGTCGAGCGCGCCTCTCGGTGGTGTCCGCTAGGTTTTCGGACGCTTCATGGGGCTTTCGGAGCCCAGCGTGTGGTTTGTCAGTTGCGCGTCGTCGAGAGCGTTCCGAGGATGCCCGGCCCGTTCCGATCGGCCGCCGGACGCCTGAGGTTGAGCCTCATCGCCGTCAACATCGTCAACGTTGCCGTGAACGTCATCGTCAGTGTTGTCTTCGTCGTCGTGAGGGGAGGGGGACTCGGGGAGCAGGAGGAAGAGGTGGTGGTGGAGGAGTAAGAGGAGGAGGAAGAGATGGGAGAAGGAGGAGGAGGAGGAAGAGGAGCGGAGGGGGCAGCAGGCTGAGTAGACAAAGGAGCTGGCAGGCACAGAGAGGACAAGTATCAGACGAGGAATTGTAGCAGCAACAAGGGTGGCAGGGGGGGAGGAGGAAGTGGAGGAGGAGTTGAAAGGGGAGGAGGTCCGTAGCAAGTGTGGGTTAAGTCTAAGGGGTGAAGTTCACTTTGACTGACTTGAAGCTGTCCTCTTCACTGCTCGTGCAAACATCCCACCCTCCCACCCGCAACTTAATCGCAAGACCTCTTAAAACCGTGACAATAGGTACCAAATGGCACTTGGCAACGACACCGACAACGACTGCGACAGCGACAACGACGACGCCGACGACGACTACGAAGACACCGACGACGACTCCGACGACGACAACGCCGACGACGACGACGACACCGACGACGACGCATACGACGCCGACGACGACGACGATGACGACGCCGACGACGACGACGCCGACGACGACGACGACGACGCCGACGACGCCGACGACGACGCCGCCGACGACGACGACGTAGACGACGCCGACGACGGCGACAAAGACGACGACGACGTCGCCAACGACGACGAAGACGACGACGACGAGGGAGGAGGGATTACGACGACGGCGACAACGACGACAACGACGAGGGAGAGGGAGGACGGCGACGACCCGAACGACGAAGAAGGAGGGAGGACGACGACGACGACGTCAACGACGAGGGAGGATGGAAGACGACGACGACGGTGACGACGGCGACGAAACAGGAGGGACGACGTCGGGACGTCGACGACGGACGACGAGGACGACAACGAGGGATGAGGAAGGACGACCACGGCGACAACGACAACGGAAACGACGACGCCAAAGCGGACGACGACGACGACGAGGAAAGACAGAGGACGACGACGGCGACGACAACGACGAAGGAGGAGGGAGGACGGCGATGACGACGACGACGACGACGCAAGAGCGCGCGCGCACGCTTTTGTTGAACACCCGTGTTCCGAAACCATTAGTTTGTGCATGTTTTTTGTAGACTCGATTTTGAAATCTAGGATTTCGGCATGCGCGCGCGACGACGCGCGCGCGTGCAGCTCGTCTTACTTTTGCACAGGATTCTCGCGACGGCACGCGCGCAAGGGCGTTCGAACGATTTCGGCATGCGCGCGCGAAGCCCGTTTGGTAGCATTTTCTCAAAATATTGAAGCCTACCTACGTTTTTTTTGATTTCGCAAGAGCGCGCGGGTAAGTTTTTTGTCGAACATCCGTGTTGCGAAACCTGGTGTTTTTGCATGTGTTTTGGAAACTCGATTTTGCAATCCTTCCGAAACCGAAGGTTTTTGAAGGATTTCGGCATGCGCGCGCGACCACGCGCGCGTGTGCATTTCGTTTTGTTTTTTTGCAAGGGACTTTTGAAAACTTGTTTTTTGTTTGGTTTGTAATAAGCGAAAGCGAGTGCGCACGCATAGTACTTTTTGTGCAGTATGGCGGGGGGGGGGCGATACCGACCTCCCTGGGATAGTGTATATTCATATTTAGGATGGGTGGTGGGGCAAAATCACATGAAAATTACAACACGAAAAGGGGAATCGATAAGTCCGAGGGGGGGAAGGGGAGCAGAACCAATTTTTTCTATCAAGGTGAATTAATTTCGCCCTGGGCGAAATACCGAGTCTTGGCTGGCTTGGCTGGGAGTCCGGGTGCCAGGCCCGAACGTTGAGTTCCCGCCTCGTTTTGGCCGGTCCCCTCAGGTAGTTCATCGGTCATCCCATTTCCTGATTCGCTAACAGAGCTGCATGCCATTCCCGCCAATTCGCGCGAGAACGAGCGAGCGCGTTAGGGCTTTGTCGACATGGATGACCTTGAGGAGCTCCGAGAGCAGTTCGAAAACAACAAGCTCACCATGTTTAGCGCATTGCAGCTAGTCCACGTTTACATTTCCGAGATATTCCAGGCGAAGAAAGTGCGTGATGAGAGTCGAGTGTGCGACGGCATACGTTTCCAGCTGTATCCTGCAGGCCCCGGTAGCCTTTCGCACAGTAACGAGAACACCTGGAGCGCTTTCACGTTCGCGACCAGAGTAACATGCAGCATGCGCCCGTGCCCACGACAATACAGAAGCTTATACCTAGACGACCGCCCTGCGGGCGATAAGGACAATGGGGGGGATTGAGATCAAATGCCCACCCAGACTGACCTCCTGCCTGTCTCCTTGATATCATCTCTCTCTGTCTCTCTGTCTCGATAGGGTCGGGTGGATTGGATTGGATGGGATAAGATGGATTGGATGAGATAAGATGGGTTGGATTGGAAGAAGTGAATTGGATAAGATAAGATGGATTGGATTGGCCCGCCGCTGCCGCAGAAACAAATGAAATGATGTATTGGGTTGGGTTGATTGGATTGGGTAGGATAAGATAAGATGGGGCAACATGGGTTGGATAACATAAGATGGATTGGTTTTGGCAAGAAGGGTTGGAAAAGATAAGCTGGGTTGGATAAGAAAGCCCGCCGCAGGCGCCGAACAAAATTAATAATGAAATTAGCGACATGCGTTAGCGCCGGGACGCCCGGGACACCCGGGACACCCGGGACACCGCCTGGCCCAACTGGGACACCTCCCGGCCCCTGGCGGACGGGAAACGGACTTTCGCTCCTACTCACACCCGGGACACCCGGGACACCGCCCGGCCCAATTGGGACTCCTCGCAGCCACCGGCGGACGGGAACGGACTTTCGCTCCTACTTCGGCCTTACTACAGGAGGATCACGCGCAGCTTCGCCTTGCCCGCACGCACGACACGAACATGAAACCGAAACCGATTTCCTGGCGGGGGGTCTCCGTTTCACTGCGATCTCACCCCCCAACTTCCGATACATTGGGAACTGGGACTTAAATGTGCACGGAAGGAGTTCGAGCATCACCATCATACCCTTATATTCTATCGCGGAAGCAAGCAGGACCAAGTCGGAAGCAATCCGGACCCATACAACAAAAAAATGCAGAGAAAGAGGATCAGGATGAGGAGGGTGAGGAGGATGGTGGGTGGAGTGAGTGAGTGCGTGAGGGAGGGGGGGAGGGAGGGAAGGAGGAGCAGGCGCAGGAGCAGGCGAAGGCGAAGCAGGAGGTAGGAGGAGGAGACGGACATGCAGGCGGAGGAGGAGAAGGAGAACGAGAAGGAAGGAAGGGGAGGAAGAAAAGGAGGAGGAAGAGGAGGCGGAGGCAGGACCAGGTGGGAGGGAGGAGGGAGGAGCTGAGAGGAGGGATGGGGGGAGGAGAAGAATAATGATAATAATGTGGAGGATGAGGGAGGAGGGCGGGGTAGGAGGAGGAGGAGGAGAGGGGAGGATAATGAGGAGGGGGAAGAGGAGTGATTGGGAGGAAGAGAAGGAGGAGGAGGAGGAGGAGGAGGAGGAGGAGGAGGAGGAGGAGGAAAACGAGAAGGAGGTAGAGGAGGTGAAGGAGGTGAAGGTGGAGGGAGGAGAAGAAGAAGGGGGTGTTGGCGATGGCCACGAAGGAACAGGGTCCTGACGCAAACGTGTCATGGATGGGGGTGCTTCCCCACGGGACAAGTTGCTCACGAGGACCAGTACGAGGACGAGGAAGAAAAAGAGGACGAGGAAAAAGGGGAGGATACGTTAGGAAAGGAGAGGAGGAGGAAGAGGAAGAGGAAGAGGAGGAAGAGTAGGAGGAGGGGGAGTAGGAGGACAACGACGAGGAGGAGGCGGAGGAGGATGAGGTAGAGGAGGTGGACGAGGAGGGAGGAGAAGGAGGAGGAGGAGGAGGAGGAAGACGAAGACGAAGACGTGTAAGCATACTAGTAATCGTAGTCGTAGTAGTAATAATGATTTCAATAATAATAATAATAATAATATAATTGTCATAATACCTGTAATAATAATGGTAACAATAGTAATACGATTAATACTAGTAATGAAACTATAGTAGTAAAAAATATAAGTTATGATGATATGTATAATAAAGATGATAGTACTAATATGAATAGTAGTAGTAGTAGTAGTAGTAGTAGTAGTAGTAGTAGTAGTAGTAGTAGTAGTAGTAGTAGTAGTAGTAGAAGTAGTAGTAGTAGTAGTAGTAGTAGTAGTAGTAGTAGTAGTAGTAGTAGTAGTAGTAGTAGTAGTCATACTAATAATAACAATGCTAATGCGACTAATGATAATAAAAGAAGATGAAGAAAAAGAGGAAGGATCAGGAGGAGGAGGAGGAGGTG